ATCCAGATTTCCGGCTTCTCCTGAAAATTCGAGAGACTCGGCAACCTGGGGTGCATTTTTTCAGGGTGGCGGTTGGCGGGAGCCAAGCAATGGCCGCTTTCCATCCGGAGGGCGTGAGTTCTGTCTCCCCAGCACAGAATCCCAGCCTGTTTCTTCCTTCACCGCACCTGCTCAGCCCCGCAGGTATCTAAGTGTGAGGCCCTCGTTGGCTACAGGGGTAGTAATAAGCCCACGCTAAAGGCTGTCAGGTGTGAGTGGTGCTGCCCAAGGACCCCTCTTCCAGCTCGCTGACTCACACGTGCTGGTTGTTAGTGATCCCTGGCCCTTGCTGCCACCCCAAACACAGGCTCCTCTGCTCTAAAACGTCAGCATGCGTGGCTCTCAAAATTATGAGACCTGGAGGTTATTTACAGCATCTCTGAAAGCAGCTCTTGGCGCCCAGGATCTGATGCTGAAAACGGTGTGAATCCAACGGGTCAAAATGTGGGGTGGGGTGTGCCCTGTGTGTTTGCTTGTTTTTATGCAAAGCACATTCATTGGAGAGTTACCCTAACCCCAGTCCCTGGACTTTGGATACCACCCCGCTAGGCCCCGGCCTGGGAGATTTATTAAACGGGCTATTCCTTTCCTAACTGTTGACATCTGCCCCTTCTTCTCTGCCTCAGAACTCTTCTCAAAGCGTCCACCTTCAGACTCTTCAGTTAGTTGACAAGAACGGAGTACTAACAGCTGAGAAGCTGTCAGATTCCTCATGGGGCAGAAAATTCGTAGTTGGGAAATGCAAATCCTCTGCCAAGATCATCGGAAAGGGGGTAGCGGTAGCCATTGTCAGAGAGCCCCAGGATTCCCCCTTTTAGCCCCGTTTGCATCAACTCTAAGGAACTAAGGGGTCGATTGGGTAGCTCCCGAGGCTAAGCCCTTGTGACTAGAGATAAATGCGCAGAATAAAAGGAATGCACAAAAGAAAAACTGACGGAGGAAAAAAAGGAAACGAAAAGCCTGACTTAATGTCATTGAGGAAAATAGTTTTGATGTGCCCTTTGTGCCCATTGTCCATCAAAGCCTTGCCGTGCAAATGCCCAGGAGTGTGCCTCCGAAATTCACATCCTCTTAGCTAGACCTTGGTGTTCCTCCTAAGCTGAGGTTCAGTAATTCTGGGGCCCTAGAAAGGTTTTTTTTTTTTTTTTTTTTTTTTTTTTTTTTTTTTTTTTTTTTTTTTTTTTTTTTTTTTTTTTTTTTGTACTGTGTCAAGCGGGAAGAAAAGGTCTTATGACCACAAAACTGGATACTTTGTAAGGTACAGAACAGTCAGCACTTTCCTCCGAGGAGAGAACACACAATTGGCATCAAAGTCGCCCAAGCAATGGGTTGAGGAGGACAGTGTCCAAAAGTAGAAGACTTCCAGCTCCTCGTTCCTGCAGACGTCACAGAGTGGGTCGCGGTATGCCGTGGATGTGTCCGACCAGATGCAGAACGCGGGTCCCATTTAAAGGCTATTTGTGGACCGGTGTGAATTAGATGGTACCATGGGGAATGCTGGAATGGGGGGAGAGATTGTATTTTGTTGGCTTCTTCCCCCTGTGGTTTTCACCATCTGTTTCTTTTAATGCATAAACAAGGCAAATGACTGGTTTGGAATGCAAAGTTTTTAAAAACCAGATGACCACAGGCATCCTCTAAATGAGAAAGAGAGAGCGAGTTGAGGTTCTGTGACATTTGTCAGGAAGTGAGATGTTAAAAACCGGGAAGCACTAATGCTCACTGCCAGGGAAAATCCACAGAGGCAAGGAAAAGCTTTGTCTATGACCCTGCCTTTCCGACGTCTTGCCATACGTTTACATTTCACCCAGGACTATTTTCAGACGCCGGCACCACCACCCCCTCTATCTCCCAGCTCCCCCTTCCCATCTTTAAACTAAAGATGGAACCACGCAGCTGGCCTTCAGCATAACCAGCCTTGGTTTTCCATTAGCATTATTACTATCTTGGCAACCTTGGGCAGAATCCACTCTGAGAAACTTTCAGACTGAACAAAAGCTGTGTTGTTGCACAGGTTCTATTACAAAGCCAAAATAGAGAGCTATAAATAGAGAGGCTGATGAGATAGACTCCAAGAAGATACTTCATTTCTCTCCTGGACAATAGTGAGTGGGGGAAAAAAATCATATAAGGGCACTAGGAACACAGTGTGTTTTTCTTGAGCAAAGGGCATGCCGCTTTTAAGAGGAAGATTTGCTATGCACAATACAGTGGCCACTCTATAAATGGTTCTGTATGCTCCATGCCAACAAGCCTTAAAGCAATAGATTCCTGTTTTAAAACCCAAGGCGGCGGAGAGATTTGATGGGACGGTGACTGTGTACTAATCCCCTTTACCTTCATCAAGAGCAGTAATCAACTGCAAACACCAGGATTTAAGCGTCTTAGAGCTCCCCGGGGAGAAGGGTATTGATGCATTTGGCTGAGTTCCACCCACTTCAGCATAAGATGAACGCGAGCATTTTTCACATAGTTTTGTAGGCAGCCTGATGCCAGAAATGTTCACATTAGAGAAAGGATAAAAGATGATGGTTTCTTAGGGAAGAACCAACTCACCCTAATTTACGAAGTGTTCTAAAAAAACCATCATGGGTGATGCTAAGGTGGGCGCTATTAGTCATTCGGGGTTGGGGGGGGGCGCGGTTAGGCAGAAACAAGACCCTGGTAATTTAGAAGCCCTTGGGGGACTAAATAGGCTTCCAAATGAGTTGAAGTTCAAAAATAATTTCTCTACCCTTGCTTAGGACACAAGGAAGGCTGTAGATACGAAAATCCCAGCCTGTCGGGCGAGATTCCTTTCACTGGCATTGGTTCCAGATGCCACAGTTGTGATGAGTGTGTTTGACTTCCCACATCCCTTGGACATAGGTACTGTCTGGGATGGCTGCTTCCCTGGTGGAAACAAGAAAATGATTAGAGACATGACCTCTGTTCCGAGTGGCTCACAGGTCCATCTGTCATTTGTTTCAAAGGTTAGATTGAAAGTTCCTGGAGGCTTCTGAGAGCACCACTGTCTGAGTGTTACTTTCATAAAAGTGCTCTAGTGACCTATGGAATTTTAGTTATAATAATAATAATGTCACATGAAGAGGCATCCTGGGGAAGGTATGAGAGGAATTTTAAGTAGCTGAACTCTCTATTTGCATTATTCACTTTACAAATAGTTTCAGAGCCTTTAAAAAAAAAAAGTGCACCTTTTTTTTCCATTATCTGTGGTTTTGGTGCTCCAAAGAGATGATCTAGGACCTTCATAATTTAAAAATGATTCTCCCTTAAGTTGCATCCTGGGAATTGAGACTTTGACCTACTTTGAGATGATTTGTCACCATGAGGAAGAGGGTTGGAGCTATTTCAGGGATTTGTTCTTTGCTGGGATTCAAGAGGGGATTTAAAAGTGTTCTGACTTGATGTCTCCTTGTCTCCTTCCTTTTCTGTCTTCCATTCTTTGTTTATGGGGGAGAGGTGAGGGAGGAGTGCCTGGTTAGGAGGCTAAGAGATATACTAGGACGGGGGCTTGGAAGTTTACACCTCTGTGTCTTCTTGCCCACAGGTGATAACCCCCGTGAGAACAGGCCAAGGCTACGTGTATGAGTACCCGACCAGATACCAAAAGGATATCTACGACATCCCTCCTTCCCACACCACTCAAGGGGTATGTAGCAGGGCCATGGTCACCAGCAGAGGAGACCACTTCAGGGTGGTATTCCTTCAAAGCTACAGAGCAAAGGGAAGTTCACAGATTAGGTGTGTTTCACGTGAAGAATTATTAAGTTCACCCATCCAGAAGCCATTTTAGCCAATGTTATGTAAATTATGTTTTCTGGGGGCGCCGGGGTGGCTCAGTCATTTAAGCATCTGACTTCTGCTCACGTCATGATCTCACAGTTCGTGAGTTCAAGCCCCACGTTGGGTTCTGTGCGGACAGCTCAGAGCCTGGAGCCTGCTTTGGGATTCTATGTCTCCCTTTCTCTCTGCCCCTCCCCCGCTCACATTCTTGTCTCTCTCTCTCTCTCTTTCTCAAAAATAAACATTAAAAAATTTTTTTTAATAAATTATGTTTTCTGGATTTGCTTTATCAGGAAGTCCTGATAGGCTTTTACTTGACAAAGCTTTTATTGCTTATCATTTTGTTTCAGGAAGTGTAAATTTTAAACCACAGTTGAACGTACAGTGTCGATATTTCACGTAATGTCATTTTTATATGCGATCTGGGTCGAAAATTATGAAATATAAAAAGCAAAATTCCATCAACCTCTTATCACGTAGAATGCAGTTAAAGAGCCAGGGTGTACATAACCTGGCAAATAAATCCATAAGGAAAGGCTCAGTAGTGTAAAAAATGACAAGTATGCGACATTTCTGTTCTGGGTAACTCAAGTGTTTCTCTTCAGGTATATGACATCCCTCCATCATCAGTCAAAGTCCCTGTGTTTTCAGTTCCAGTGGGAGAAATAAAACCTCAAGGCGTCTATGACATCCCTCCTACAAAAGGGGTAAGTGACAGAGCAGCCCAAAAGGGGTGTGCGTGTATTTATTGGAATAAAACAAGAAGGGCAAACCAAAGGGGAAAAACTAGTCTTTCTGAGAGAGTGAACGAGAGGAAGGAAAGGCGATAGTTAAAGATAAGTCTAAGGATTCCAGGGGCACGTGGCTGGCTTAGTTGGTAGAACACTTGACTCTTGATCTCGTGAGTTCGAGCCCTGTGCTGGACATAGAGATTATTTAAAAAAAATGGGCGCCTGGCATAGCCTGTTGTTGCCCTGACTTCTCAGCCAGGTCACCATCCGGGCTGTCCATGAGTTCTCAGCCCCGCTGGGCCAGGCTCTGGCTGATGGCTCAGAGCCTGGAGCCTGTTTCTGATCTCTGTACCTCACCCCCTCCCCCCCGCTCAGCGCTCTGTCCCAAATAAATGTTGAAAAAAAAAATTAAAAAAAAAAAAAAAGTGAAAGGAAAAAAACACCTCAAAGATAAGTCTAAGGATTCCATATTTAGGGGACTGTGCTAAAAATGAGGTAGTCCGCAAAGGAGAGCCAGTAAGAAGGTACGATAATTCAGTTTGGCAAGCAACTAACACATCTCATATTTATGGAAAGTGTTGCAGCTTCCTCGGAGCATAGACAGAGGTCGGTGCGTTTGATGCACTCTGTTATCCGCTGGGGTATGCCTGCACAGGAAGTACAGATAAGGGAACTGTGTGTCAGGACATTTAAGCAACTTACGCAGCATTTCATGGCCGACAGGTCCAGGGAGAGACCTTGGGTCTCCCAACACCCAGTCCTGTGTGTTAACACGTAGTCTGCTGCCCAGCTCAGCTCAGCCGAGGAAGGAGGCCCGGGAGGTGGTCAGAAACGCGGGACTGGGACCCAGGGAGGGACTGGGACCCAGGGAGGGCAACTCAGCCAGGCTCACAACTCACACACAGGCGGCACAGAGGCCACGGGGCGGAACGATCCTGTCAAAGGATGAGGGACGAACAGAGCCGAGCAGAGCCTTGGGAAACGCTGGCCGTCAAGTGGGTGGAAGGTGAAAAACAAGGAGCCAGAGAGGCGGCCTGAGAATTCTAGCCTCATTTTAATGTCCTTTTCCATTTCTGCATGTTCGTATGCGCCAAGCGAACAAATACCAGCTCCTGCTTCCTTTACTTTTCAGGTATATGCCATTTCACCCTCTACTTGCCGAGACGAAGCAGGGCTGAGGGAAAAAGAGTATGATTTCCCCCCTCCGGTGAGGCAATCGGGAAGGCTGGACGTCAGACCAGAGGGCGTTTATGACATCCCCCCAGCCAGCACCAAGCCAATGGGGAAGGACCTTCGCATAAAATATAACTGTGATGCTCCGGGAGCCGCTGAACTGGCCACACGAAGACACCAAAGCGTTTCGGTGAACCACCCACAGCTGGGACAGTCACTGGGTGCCCAGAACGATGCATATGATGTCCCCCGAGGGGTTCAGTTTCTGGAGCCAGCAGCAGAAAGCGGTGAGAAAGCAAACCCCGAAGAAAGAGACGGCGTGTACGACGTCCCTCTGCACAACCCACCAGATGTCAAAGGCTCTCAGGACGTGGTGGACAGTATCAACCGGTTATCTTTCTCCAGCACGGGCAGCACCAGGAGTAACATGTCCACGTCTTCGACCACCTCCAAGGACTCCTCGCTGTCAGCCTCCCCGTCTCAGGACAAAAGGCTCTTACTGGATCCAGACACAGCCATCGAGAGACTTCACCGGCTCCAGCAGACCCTGGAGACGGGCGTCGCCAGCCTCATGGCGCTGGTCACCACAGACTGGCGGTGTTACGGATACATGGAGCGACACGTCAACGAGATCCGCACCGCGGTGGACAAGGTGGAGCTGTTCGTGAGGGACTACCTCCATTTTGCCAAGGGAGCTGTAGCAAACGCTTCCTGCCTCCCCGAACTCGTCCTCCATAACAAAATGAAGCGGGAGCTCCAAAGAGTGGAAGACTCCCACCAGATTCTGAGCCAGACCAGCCATGACTTAAATGAGCACAGCTGGTCCCTGAACATTCTGGCCATCAACAAGCCCCAGAACAAGTGCGATGATCTGGACCGGTTTGTGATGGTGGCGAAGACAGTGCCCGACGATGCCAAGCAGCTCACCACAACAATCAACACCAACGCGGAGGCGCTCTTTAGACCAGGCGTGGGCAGCTCACACGTGAAGAGTGGGTCTGGGAACATCATGAACTCCGCTGAGTACCCACACGCCGCGTCCCAGATGCAGCTGCTGCATCCCGGGGACCACAAGGCCCAAGCCCTCACCAAGCCATTGCCCCCGAGCCTAGGCAAGGACCAGCCTCCTGACTGTAGCAGCAGCGATGGGTCTGAAAGGAGCTGGATGGATGATTATGATTATGTCCACCTACAGGTAAGGAAACCAGACCCATAAAAGCACCTATACTCGTGTCCGGAGAGCCTGGGACACATTGGGGAGAACATGATTACTGGTTCACAAACAAAATTAGTAGTTGACAGATGGAGGCGATATCGTACTGTTGGGAGAACACTGGCCAGAGAGTCCCGAGTCCCCGGCTCTAGACCTTTCCCCGACACTAACTAAGTGTGATTGACTTCTCAAACCTGCCAGGGTTGTAATTTCTTCATTTGCAACATGAGTGAAGCACAGAGTTGGAGTGATCCATTGATATGCCTCAGGCAAGCAGAAAGAGACTCCCCAAGTAGGAGAGTGGGCCCCCAGATAATCATATCCTCTCCACTTCTGTTGGCATTCTGTCATATAGTTCTGCGTGGCGTTTTATTTGAAAAAGGAGAAAGGCACCATTAAGGAAATAAAAACGCAAACCTCTATACTAAAGCATGTCTAAGGTCCCTTCAGCTCTATAATGTGTATGTGTGTTTAATTACCTACAGAAAAACTTAACCCGACCTCAGGCTTACCTTAAGGAACACTGGGCATTTGTCAATTGACGTAGAACTTAACCAGCACATGGGAAGCTGGACAGGCACAGTTGGCCTCCTACAAGTGGGAAATTCTACCAAGCTGACCTGGGATCCCTTTCACTTTGGGGAATTCAGACATTCTACCAGGGTCCATTACTTAGAATTTGGTGTGTTGTCTTATTTCACTTGACTGAGAGGCATGGATTATCCTGAGAACTGATGAACTACTACAATTCCCTTGGGTGCAAGAGTCTGGGGAAGGGAGAGAGCTGAGCCCGCCCTCCCTCCCCCATCTCCCAGGGCTAAGGAAAGGTGTGGAGAGAGAGTAGATGGGGGCATTCACCATTCATATGGCGGGTTGTCCAGCTCTGTCTGTTAGAAATACCGACTTGGTGTAGAGTCATAGATGATTCAACGAAACCAGGAGCGCAGCGTGGATCCCATTAGAACGCTGAGAAACAGTGTTGCTTAAGGAGGTTTGAAGGGGATTGTGGATCTCCAAGAATGGTGAAGTGGAGCAGGGATGGTGGCCTCTCACATGGACATGGACTTTACTTTTCAGCCTTGACCTCCATGGTGACTCTGGAAGTCTGGCAAAGAAGCACACCAGGGCCTGGGGTTCACAGGGCCTAACTGGGCCTGTGGGAAATCGCCAAGGCATTGGAAAATGAAAGGGTATTTACACATTTGTCAATGAAATTGTTAGCATAAGTGAATCACAGGGGTGATGTAATGTTTTCTTTGTGTTGAAAAATAATAGGGCAAGGAGGAGTTTGAGAGGCAACAGAAAGAACTGCTGGAAAAGGAAAATATCATCAAACAGAGCAAGATGCAGCTGGAACATCATCAGGTAAGTTCACTCAGAACAAAACCTACTGGGTATTGAAAAGATTTCCCACTTAATAAGGAAGGTGTTACTTCAAAAGATTATGGTTTTGATCCTTCCAGCATACTTTGGCATAAATAGGCTCTAAGGCATATAATAGGGTATAAGAACAAAGAGAAAGTTTATAGTGTTGGTAATCCAGCTGGTGTTCCTGGATTATGTCCAAACAGCCATTTTTTTCTGGGCTAATTCTGTATATCTAACATATTAGGACTCTTTGGGTTAAAGCTGTTGGTCTCAAGGAGCAGGACCCACTCAAGCTAGCCCAAGCAAACAGGTTTTATAGTAGGGGAATGCAAGAACAGAAAATGCAGATATAGCCAGGTCTGATGAGAGCTAGGACTATAAATTCTCTCTCCTTCTGTACTTCCTTTGCTTTTCTCTAAATCTGCTTCCTTCTCTATTTTCTAGCAGTTTCCTTTGCTTATCTATTCATTTGTCGCCCCTCTAACTTTACAGAACCCATAAATGGCCACTCAAAGTCCTTTCTACAGATGGCTTTTCGTCTCAGCTTCCTCAGCTGATGGTTTCCTACTGTGGTTCATCAAATTCCTCGAAAAAAAAAAAAAAGAGCCTAATTGGGTCATCTCTATCTCTCTCTCTCCTACAACTCAAGCCTATGGCTTGGCTGTTTGTTCTTGGTCCAATCGAAGAGAACGAGGGCAGGATCAAATGTTTTCAAATTACATGCAAGCTCTTAAACAAGGGATTTGGGCAGGGCAGGTTCACTCAACAGTTGGGCATGAGTGGGGCTGATAATGATGGGTATTGCTAGTAACTGGGCACAAAAAAAAAAAAAGCAATGGATTGAGGACTTATAAGCCTTTTAAATTGAAACGAAATAGCATGCAGAGACATGTCCTTGCTTTCGGACCAGCCAACTATGTGACCTCAGGCAAGTCACTTAACCGCCATGAACTTCAGTTACTTATGTATAAAATGAGAAGATACCCCCAGCTCTCCATCTAATAAGATGATACATTTATGAACATATTTGCAACAGCATAAACGAGATAACTTCAAACATCACGTTGTACCTGGTTATATCCGCTTTGGCATTTGGCCAAGTAGGACAGCAGGGCTTTGGGGAACTTGTTGAAACCATAGCAATTCCTAAGAGGAAAGCAGAGTCGGTTGAAAAGTAAAGCTCATTATGCATTTCTTGTGGGGGAAGCTGGACGAGGCTATCCCTACTCTGACTGAGCCCCACCTTGGAGCAGATCACTGAGTCCTAAGCTAAGGTCACAAATAGTCCTCACCTGCAAAAGAAGGGTCTTTCCTGAGATTTGGTGGAATAGCATGAAATTATTATCACTGCAGCTTAACTAATACACCAGCTGGACGCAGGAAGGGAAGAAGAAAGCTAACGCTCATTGAGTCTGTGTGTGAGGAGCTTTTCTTTCAACAGCTCTGAGCAGCTAAATGGTATGATGCACAATTATTCAGATTCCCTTAGAGACGCTCTTCTCCACAATGTACATGTATTTACGTGCATTAGTCTCTCCTGCAGTGCTGGATAATAACATTCATGGATCTTGACTGAAAGAGTAGGAGAAATGGAAAGGGGTCACAGACTGTCATTTATCTAAGAGTCTGGAAGGGACAGAGTCAAGGCTTTCCCAGAGAAGGAACCAACTCTCAGTTTCCCTCGCCACCACTCAACGTTCAATAAACATTTACACAGAGGCTACAATAAACCAAACACCATTCTAAGCACTCTGGAAACCTTAACTCATTTAACCTTCATAAAGGTGCAGGTAACAGAGCTGAGTCTAAGCGCGAGCTGCCTTCCAGCCTTAGGGCAGAAGGGACCAATATGCAGTCACAGGGGCCCGATTCCTTAGGGATCCTCTACGTTTCACACTTTAGGAAAGTCAGACAACCTGACCAAGGCCTCCCATCTAATGAGCACTTGACTCTTGTTGGGGATTAAAATCCCTGTCCTTGAACTCCAAGCCCCGGGGTTCATTTCCGGCACAGCGCACTTGCCTTGCCCTTCAGGAAATCTGCTTTTTGCTTCCTTGCAGCTAAGTCAGTTCCAGCTGCTGGAACAGGAAATTACCAAGCCCGTGGAGAACGACATCTCCAAGTGGAAGCCCTCTCAGAGCCTCCCGACCACAAACAGCAGCGTGGGCTCTCAGGATAGGCAGCTGCTCTACTTCTACTATGACCAGTGTGAGACCCATTACATCTCCCTCCTCAATGCCATCGACGCCCTCTTCAGCTGTGTCAGCTCCGCGCAGCCCCCGCGCATCTTCGTGGCCCACAGCAAGTTTGTCATCCTGAGCGCACACAAACTGGTGTTCATTGGGGACACGCTGACGAGGCAGGTGGCCACCCAGGACATTCGCCACAAAGTGATGAACTCCAGCAACCAGCTCTGCGAACAGCTCAAGACTATAGTGATGGCGACCAAGATGGCCGCCCTCCATTACCCCAGCACCACGGCCCTGCAGGAGATGGTGCACCATGTGACAGACCTGTCCAGGAACGCCCAGCTCTTCAAGCGCTCTTTGCTGGAGATGGCAACCTTCTGAGAAGGGCAGGAAGAAGGGGGAGCTGAGCACGCCACCAAGGAAAACTGGAAATGCTATCTGGTTTTTGTAAATGTTATCTATTTTTGTAGATAATTTTATATGAAAATGAAATATTTTAACATTTGATGGGGTTAGATGACATTCAGAAATTCAGGGAGCTCGAGGGGGAATTTTTTTTTTTTTTTCCCGTGTGGTTCTTATGTAAACACGTAAGCATCTAAGGCATCAGCTGTACAGAAACGTGTCCATGTGCGTGTGTATGCCTGTTCGTTTGTAGACGTCTGTCCGAGACATTCCAGTAGAAAACATGAATTAAGAAGCACCTTAGTAACCACCTCCTAATGCTGCATTTTTTTCCTTTTTTTTTTCTGTTTTTTTTTTTTTTTTTTTTTTTTTTTTTTTTTTTTTTTTTTTTTAGAAAACATACCAGCTAGTTGTAATATTGCTATATGTATACTAGCAATTATCCTGAGCCTGTCACTTCCAAGTCTGGGAAGCACGTATACATGCAAATGTTCACCTTCCAATAATGAGGCATGATGTGACTTGTTCTTGTTTTGGGGCCCCTTTCAAAGTCGACCTTCTCGGGCACATTGTGGCAAAATGCCGCACTTCTGATGGAGGAAGCCCTGTTAGAAGTTTCAGGAAGTGTATGTTGATTCAAGCACTGATATTTTCGAAGTATTTCAAGGCCATATCCCCAGTTGGGGCTGGGTTGTTTCAAAACAGAGAGGACATCACAATAAAAGGAGAGCACATGTTTCCCCGGGGCTTTTTGATCATCTGCGTTTATGAGTGATTTGGCCATGAGGCTTTCCAGAGGGTGTTTTAAATTTGCAAAGACCAGATTATTTGCAGCAGGAATTCATAAAGACATATCAGACTACGATTGTCCACAAAAAGCAGGGATGGTTCCGTTCTGTCAGGTTTAAGTAGAGGCCTTTTTGGACTCTCAACATTCACTTGGGTGCTACCACCGTCATTACCTGAGGAAAACTGACCAGTTTCTTAGTCACTTAAAGGTTAAGAGCCTCCAGGCCACATCCTATTCTATGAGAATCCATTGCTTGATCTCACACCCTTCTTCAAACATGCAGCTGCTGACCCAACACTGAGCCCATCCAGTCTTTACAATTCTGTCTGGCCCACGGCCCTGTGTAAACAGCCCATTGCCATCTCACAGCTCAGCAAAGTCCGTTCCATAGTCTTCCCCCTTAAACCTGTTGGTGTTGGCACAGTACAGACACAACACAAGCCATCAGATTCATCTTGGGGCAGATGAGACCTTTCCTACCCAATGGGTAAAGGTATTCTCACATTACCAAGTCAGGAAGCATGTTATCTATGGGCTTTTGGTCCCGTTCTTATTTAATGGTTCTAGTCTAGCCTATTGGAAAACGTTTTTATTTTGCAATATATGCCTTGACTTAATTAAGCTTGCTTGTTTTAAAAAACAAATCATTGGAACAGGAAGGGATTTAAGAGAGAAGAATGTGCGATCTAAGTGTGATGGAAAAAAAAAAAAATCAGTGAAACATCATAGAAGGTGCTTTTGAAAACAGCCGTGATTGTAGCTCTCCAAGTTCTCTGTCAAAAGATGATTACAAATTGTATGGTTATATGACAAGTAAGTTTGTAGGGAGGAAGGAGACTGCTGAAAATCAACTAAGCAGGAGTTCAAAAGTGTCCCCATAGATTCCATTGTATAATAATGTGTATTTCGTAGGAGATGACAGACTTGTTCTAAGCTACGTGGTGACATTTCACGTTTTCGAAACCAAAACATTCAGTCTGTATTACTCTTTCCCATCTTGTATGTAAAGGTTATTTTTAAAACATTAAATTTTTAGATCTTGATTTCCAAAGGCACTGGGCTTTCTTTTCCATATTTCTCTTTGTCACAGAGCAATACTAGAGATCTGGATTTTTTTAGGAGAATTGAGAGTTGTGTATTTTTTCACTTGGTGTCACTTCAGAGTGTATTTACATATGAAGAAAATTCTGCGACCTGTGGACATTGCCAAACCCAAATATCTGGAACAAGGCTTGGCTTCCCCAGAAAGCCTGTCCATTTAAATCATGGGTACGATGATTTCTACCATCATAATACGGATGATACCATTTGTGAGGTTTTAGAATCAAAGAGAGTTGCTTAATTCATTTTGGAAGAGACATAAAGAAACAGTTAAAAGAAAACTAGATTTGATGAAAATTAGACATTCATATGCACATAAATTATTTTTAATGTTTAGCCCCCTCTTTCACACAGGTATCCTAACTGTGAGATTAACAGATGAAGTTATTTGTATATATTTTGTATCATTTTGTCCACATCCATAAACATGAGCTGAGTTTTAAGAAAAGTGTCAAGACACTTCAATGGGGAATGAAGTCTTTTGAAAACATCGTACAGGAACAACTGGATCTCTCCATGGAAAAAAACGAAGACTTACCTTACAGCCTACACAACACTGAAATGGAGCATAGACTTACATGTAATACTTCTAGAAGAAAACATAGGAGAAAATCTTTGTGATTTCAGGTAGATAAAAGTTCCTTAGATAGAAAAATAAATAAGTAAGTAAATAACGGGTGCCTGTGTGGCTGAGTCGGTTAAGTGTCCAACTTCGGCTCAGGTTATGATCTCCCGGTTCATGAGTTTGAGCCCCACTTTGGGTTCTGTGCTGACAGCTCAGAGCCTGCAGCCTGCTTCAGATTCTGTGTCTCCCTTTCTCTCTGCCCGTCCCCAACTCATGCTCTGTCTCTCTGTCTCTGTCTCTCTCTCAAAAATAAATAAATGTTAAAAAAATTAATAAGTAATGAAATAACTAAATAAATGAATAAATCATAAAAGAAAAAAGTCGATAATTTGGACTTTACCAAAAGTAAAAACTCTGCTCTTCTAAGGAGACCATTAAAAATACAAAAAGGCAGCCCGCGAAGCAGGAGAAAATATTTGCATCACATAAATCCACCAGGGACATTAATCAGAATGAAGAGATGATGAAATTTTTTTTAATGGGCAAAAAATGTGAACAGAAACCTCACAAAAGAAGACATATGAATGGGCAATAAGTAAATGAAATGTAAACACACCAAATAGAGTCAATAAAATTAAGCAGGCAAGCCATCCCAACTGTTGACGAGACGGGAGCAAATGGAACCCTCATACACTATTGGTGAGAGTGTAAAATGCTACAAACACTTGGGAAAATACATAGGCAGTTCCTTAAAAAATTAAATTTATGCCTAATGTATTACTTAGGAAACCCTCTCGTACGTATTTACTCAAGAGAAATAAAAGCATATGTCCATACAAAGACTTGAAGAAGAGTGCTTATAGCAGCTCTATTTGTAATAGCCAAAATCTAGAAACAACCCAAATCTGCATCTGTGTGAATGAATAAAACCACTATTGTGTATCTACACAGTGGAATACTACACAGAAATAAAAAGGAACGACAAAATTGAAACAAAAACAATATGATTGAATTTCAAAACCATTGCGACATATAAAAGAAGACAGACAAAACAGACTACATACGGTATGTTTCCATTTACACAAAATTCTAAAAATGCAAATTATAGTGACAGGAAGCAGCTCAGTGGTGTCCTAGAAAGAGGAGGGGTGGCAGGGATTCCAAAGGAGCTCAGGGAAACTTTGGGGAAATGATGAAAATGGCTATTTTACTGACCATGGTGATAGCTTCACAGGTATACACCTGTCAAATCATCAGTTTGTACACCTGAAATACATACGATTTATTCTTTTGTTAGTTATGACTTTTTTAAAACTAAATGATCTAAACGCACCAATTAAAAGTCAGATTCTCAAACTGGATTTTTTTTAAAAGCAAGACTAAGCTATATACTATTTAAAAGACACCTGCACTAAATGAAAATATACATATAAGTTTAAAAGCAAAGGGATGGAAAGAGATGTACCCTGCACATTCTGATTTAAAAAGAAAGCTGGAGGGGCGCCTGGGTGGCGCAGTCGGTTAAGCGTCCGACTTCAGCCAGGTCATGATCTCGCGGTCCGTGAGTTCGAGCCCCGCGTCAGGCTCTGGGCTGATGGTTCGGAGCCTGGAGCCTGTTTCCGATTCTGTGTCTCCCTCTCTCTCTGCCCCTCCCCCGTTCATGCTCTGTCTCTCTCTGTCCCAAAGGTGAATAAACGTTGAAAAAAAAAAAATTAAAAAAAAAAAAAAAGAAAGCTGGAGCAGCTACATTAGCAGACAAAGACTTGAGAACAAGGACAAAGGAGGACACTGCAAGATAAAAGGGTCAACTCATAAAAAAATTATTTATTTTGTATGTACTTAATCACAAAGTTTCAAAATTTATGAAGCAAAAACTGATATAACTGAAAGGAAAAATGGGAAATCTGTAATTTAAGGTGGAGATTTAGATACTCCTGCTTCAGTAATTAATAGAACAAGTAAACAATTACCAGTAATAACTGCTAAAGATTATTCCAGGGAGCATCTGGAACTCTCTACACTGCTGGTAGGAATGTAAAATGGTGCCACCATTTTGGAAAATGGTTTGGTAATCTCTTATGAAGTTAAATATACACTTACCATGTAACCCAGCAATTACAATCATAGGTATTTACCCAAGAGAAATTAAAATATGTATGTCCACACAAAAAACTAACTTGCTTTATTCATCATAGTCCCAAAGGAAAACAATCCAATGTCATCCACAGGTGAGTGGATAAATAAAGTGTGGTCTATTCATACAGTGGAACACTATTCATTAATAAAAAGGAGTGAGTGCCAGTAATTTCTCTGACAACAGCCATAGCAACATTTTTCTAGCTATGTCTCCTGAGGCAAGGAAAACAAAAGTAAAAATAAACTATTGGGATTACATCAAAATATAAAGCCTCTGCACAGTGAAGGAAATAACCAACAAAAACAAAAAGGCAACCTATAGAAGGGGAGAAGATATTTGCAAACGGCATATGCAATAAAGGGTTAGTATCCAAAATGTATAAA